AAGTCCAAAGAAGACTGTGAAGAACTTCAAAAAGATCTCACAAAACGAAGTGATTGGGCAACAAAATGGTAAATGAAATTAATGTGGATAAATGTAAAGTAATGCACATTGGAAAAAATAACCCCAACTATACATACAATATGATGGGGGCTAATTTAGCTACAACAAATCAGGAAAAAGATCTTGGAGTCATTGTGGATAGTTCTCTGAAAATGTCCACGCAGTGTGCAGAGGCGGTCAAAAAAGCAAACCGGATGTTAGGAATCATTAAAAAGGGGATAGAGAATAAGAAGGAGAATATATTATTGCCCTTATATAAATCGATGGTACGCCCTTATCTCGAATACTGCATACAGATGTGGTCTCCTCATTTCAAAAAAGAGATACTGGCACTAGAAAAGGTTCAGAAAAGGGCAACTAAAATTATTAAGGGTTTGGAACGGGTCCCATATGAGGAGAGATTAAAGAGGCTAGGACTCTTCAGCTTGGAAAAGAGGAGACTAAGGGGGGATATGATAGAGGTATATAATCATGAATGATGTGGAGAAAGTGGATAAGGAAAAGTTATTTACTTATTCCCATAATACAAGAACTAAGGGTCATCAAATGACATTAATAGGCAGCAGGTTTAAAACAAATAAAAGGAAGTTCTTCTTCACGCAGTGCACAGTCAACTTGTGGAACTCCTTACCTGAGAAGGTTGTGAAGGCTAGGACTATAACAGAGTTTAAAAGAGAACTGGATAAATTCATGGTGGTTAAGTCCATTAATGGATATTAGCCAGGATGGGTAAGGAATGGTGTCCCTAGCCTCTGTCTGTCAGAGGGTGGAGATGGATGGCAGGAGAGAGATCACTTGATCATTGCCTGTTAGGTTCACTCTCTCTGGGGCACCTGGCATTGGCCACTGTCGGTAGACAGGATACTGGGCTAGATGGACCTTTGGTCTGACCCGGTACGGCCTTTCTTATGTTCTTATGTTTTATGAGATCCCCATTTGTTTATTAAATACTCTTTGGTGGGTTCTGCCAACGTCCATGAATATTATAGTTTGGTTCAGCAACTGAATACTACTAAACAATAGCTTAGGGTTCCCCTTTTCTTCAGGTTTATATGAGAATAAATCCACACATGGACTTTTCTACCTCTGGGGTAAAGGGCTAACTAGCTAACTCTCCTCAACCCATCCCAATCCACCGATTAGGCACAGCTCTTCCTAATCAGGGCTACTCCAGAGCAACTGCTGTTGTTGCAGTGCCCAGAGTGCTGCCTCAGTTGTTTCCCAGCACTCTGTCACACATCTCCCTGCTTACTTGACAGGAAGGTGTTTTCTCTCCCTCCTTACTAGAGGTGCTACCCCCTGGGGCTCCCTTAGTAATCCTCCAGGTCCCGCTTGTGGGGCCCACTCATTCTTCATCCATAGAAATCACTGCTGGTGGGGGATGGTCACCTCCATAGCTTGGTTTCGGCCCACAACACTTTACACCGTGGGCATCCTGGGGCGTTGCTCTTTCTATTCTCCTCCTTTGTATCTGCTGGTGGCTCAAGGACTGTCCCCTGTCCCAACTTTGTCACGGCCCTACAAACCTGGTGCCTGACCACTACTGCCAATGATGACAGGGAAATACTATTTTACTAGCTCCTTGGACCATCCGAGAGGCAGTGTGGTCTAGTGTTCAGAGACAGCCTACTGAACTAACCTCTGTAAAGAAAAGCAGTTAGGCACAGGTGCTAGAACTAGGGGTGCTGGGGATGCAGCAGCACCCCCTGGCTTGAAGTGGTTTCCATCATATACAAGCATAGGCGCCGACTCTGTGGATGCTCCAGGAAAAAAATTAGCGGGTGCTCCCTCCCTCTTGCGTCCGCCTGTGGCCCCTGCTGATCAACTCCTCCTCCTCCCTCCCAGTGCCTCCTGCATGCGTGCTCGGGAAAGAGAGTGGAAAGAGGCTGGGAAGAGGCGGGGGGGGGGGGACCTTGTGGGAGGGGATACAACGAAGGACCGGCTCCAGGGTTTTGGCCGCCCTAAGCAGCCAAACAAAAAGTGAGGGACCGTGCACCGTATTGCCGCCGAACAGCTGGACGTGCCGCCCCTCTCCGAAGTGGCCTCCCCAAGCACCTGCTTGGTAAGCTGGTGCCTGGAGCCGGCCCTGATACAACATATGTGTTGATAAAGTGATACAGCAGTTTACTCTTATACTTTGCTGCTTGAGCAGAGGTCTTTTCAAATGCAAATAGTTTCTTCTTTCTACAGCACAAGACCGAAGTCCCATAGCTAACTCTGAGGTATATAGGAACCATCAGGATCGGAATGGTAAGTACTCACATGGGTTATAAGTAAATTAGAAAAAAGTAAATTGTGTCCAGTCACATTCTGGGTCTGAGAAATTGACACATTCAAAATCTGGGCTATCCAGTTCCCCACCAAGGATCTTTTTTAAAAAAAATGATAGCTCCTTGCACATCAACTCAACCTCCAAAACTATTGGTAATAGCTCAACCAAAGCCAAGTGTTTAGGTCTGAGTTCCTTTGCCAGACCTGAAGAAAAGCTCTGTATAGCTGGAAAGCTTGTCTGTTTCACCAACAGAAGTTGGTCCAATAAAGATATTATCTCACCTCCCTCTAATATGCTGGGACCAACATGGCTACAACAACAATACAGACAACTTTCTTTTCTGTAAGCTTTGTATTTGGAATAGTTTTCTGATCACTAATAATGTTTTTTTTACAGGGCCCTTAACATAAGCCTATCCGAGTGCACGAGAATTTCATCAGTTTGTTACGTTTGAAGACCAAGTAAAATTATAGTGACATCTAGTGACCATTAAGATTACCAGCAGTAACAGAACAATATATTGCTGCTAGAGAACATTTTAATCTCACAGTATTCAGAATTCGATTATTAAAATCGGTAAGAGAATGAATTAAAATGCTGATGGATGTAATAACATGACCAACCCTATAATTTATTGAAAACAGGCTTGCAAATTCTTAAGAATGCAAAGAATGATTACAATTAGACCTAGTTAATGTGAATGCATCTAAAACAACATGTTTATTCAGCCTGAAATACAGGAGAATGTGGTTAACAGAGTTCGCTGTGGTCAGAAAAACACCAGATCACCTGCCTATCCCCAATAAGAGAAATTGGAGAAATTTAACGTAACAAAGATTTGCAATTGCCCATTTATTAAATGTATCTGTATAAATAGCTAGAGCTGTACAATTTCATGTGAAGACAAATATCAATGTATAGAACAGTTTCATGGTCTCTATAATGCCAGGTTGTTAAGAATAGTGATTGCGCTTTCATTCCCCCAAACTGCACGTCAGTTTGAAATCCCAGGCAGGAGAGCACTCTGCCTGGATCTTGGGCTGAGAAGACCTGCACTAGGACACACATGGCAGTGACAAAGTCTGAACTTGGACTGCTTTGGACTTACAGACTCAGCTGTATCCTTCTGCATTGAGCCAGGGGTGCTTGCTGTCATTTTAACCCCCCAAGGAATCAAAGGGCGCTCTGGTCACTTCAGAGTGGTGAATCTGTTATACTTAGCCTGTGTAATGACCTGGTCCCAGCAGGGCCATCAGCAAAACGGCTCAAACCTGGGCACCTCTGGTTCTTTGCATAAGCCTCTACTGCTTGAGCTAGAAGACTTGGCTCTGTAAGCCAGTGCTGCAGCAGGCTCATCGCTCTCAGGCCAAGCCACCACTAGAGAGGGACAGAGCACAACGCTGAGTGTGTGTGTGGGTTACCCTGTGAAAGAATAGTCTCCACTGCCAGCAGTGGGCCTGCTGCCCCGGAGTTCAGCTGCCGTATGAGGGCTCAGCATGCACCTCTTGAACCCATTCCTGAGCCTCTTCCCAGCCCCGCAGAGCCAGTGGGTTCTGACCTGAGGGATGGACCTTGTGCTGCTCCCGAATGACACTTTGTCGCTGACTGAAGGGAAGCTGCTGATGAGAGCCGTGGTCAGCCTTTCCCCCTGAGCTGGAAGCTCACTGGGAAGGCAGGTTCTTTCAGGGCATGATCCAATGCCCATTGAAATCAGTGGATGTCGCTGAGCACAGAGAGTTAGTACAAAAGAATCTAGAAATAGTTGAGGCTTGGGAGGAAAATAGGAAAATGAGATTTAGCTTAGAAAAATTCATACTAATCCTTAGGTGGAAAGCAATATGAGTTATACTCCGTGATGGGGGGAATGCTACATAGCAGTAGTTATTCTTTAATTCTTATGTAGCATCCAGAGGCTCCAATCACTATTAGAGTCCTGTAACGCTTGACACAGTTCAAACATCCAAGAAGACACAGCCCCGAAGAATTTACATCTACAAAATCTACTGTAATCCACAAAGAAATGTAGTGGAGAGAAGGGATAACAAATTAGACACTAAGCTACTGTAGTAAGATGAGGCCCTGAAACATAAACCCTTATCAGAGGCCTGGTATGAGGCCTAAGGCCTGAACTAAAGTAATGGTCAAGACTTTGCTAACATAAAGCAAACTTAAGCTGTGAGCCAGAGGCAGGCCCTGCTCGCAGAAGCTGGCAACAAAAGGGCTGATGGTTCAAAAATACATTTACCTAAAAGGTACTGGACACTAGAGATACAAACATATTCCAGGATTATACCAGAACACTCTGATACTTGCACATTACACACAAATAACAAAGAACAAACGAACCCATCCTAAAGACAGGGGCAAAAGAGTACTATGATGGATGGAGTTGTTTTGTTCTAACCAACATGTACAAGGTGAGAGGCGGCACCTTACTGCGTAAAGGGGTTGTACCTTGCTACGTAGAGGGGTTGCACCTCAATACGTCAGGAATTATGTGTAACTTGTTTGTACCTGTGTATAAGAATGCATCCCTGGGGCGGTGTCTTTGTCCAGCCTAGGGGGCAGTGGAGTGTCCCGTCACTGACTGAGCCGGTCCATTGTCAGGGAGCACATATGTACTAGCAGAACTGTAGACATCCGATCCGGGGAGCTAGAGACTGTGTTTCGTTTGACAATAAACCTGGCCGGGTGCCTTCGTGCCTTATCGGACTCTGTGGTCATTGGGGGTTCTCTTGGGGTCTGCTGTGTCAGCAATCTGCGCAGAGCCGGGGCAGCACACAGAGGGAACACACGCACACAGCCGATGGTTACCAACATTGGACAGAGCAGAGCATCATACCGGTGGTGTCTGACAACAGCTACAATACAAGAATTTGGGTTTGCTGCCCAATCAGCACTAGGGTTTGTGTTTGTGTTCAACAGTGCTAGAATCTTGTCATTCTTGTGACATATCAAATAGTGAAAATCTTCTCAGATCAACTGTTCATGAACTTTCAGCCCTAAATTCCTGACCAACACTTAGCTGCCTAATATCCTGAAAAAAGTACCACCCTCTAATATTATAATGTTATTGAAACAAATAACTCTCCCTGTCCCCGACAACCAACCAGTAGATTTAGCCACTGAAAAAGACAAAGCAGTGTGTGTTCTAACGAGTAGAGTTAGAATCCTCATTACGTCAGCGCAACTAAAATTTGCTAGCTCACTACAGCTGAACTCCTCCCTCCTCTGACTTTGGTCAATTACAGAAAAGAGTGAAAGTGACCTGATGAAAGAAGGAGTTTCTCTCAAGAGAAGCTGGAGAACTGTTGTCTATTCCCAAATTCTTCACTGCATAAAGGACTGAAAACGGGCCAGGCGGTTTAGTGCCTAAAGAAGCAAGAGAGTGAAAACTGATAACAGTTCAACCGCAAGTGTTTTACAGGTAAGACACCTTTTAAACCCAGAATCTTTGTGGTGATTTAATCATAAATGTGCATTCAAATCTGGCCCATGAACAAACATTGCAGGAAACGGCTACACTGCATAAGAACTGAGAGGGAATTTTCAGCCAGTTTCAGACTTGACTTCTCTTGTGTCTTTACTTCTACCAAAAAAGAAACAAAAGGAAGTGAAGTTGGATAGCAGTGTTGACAACTCTTGTGATATTTCGTGGTTTTCTTAACAATTTCAAAGCTGGAATCAGGTTATTACTCGACAATCTCAGATCTCATTTAAAAAAAATTTTTTTTCTAGTCTTCCTGGTTGCTGTGAAAAGCTTGAAAATGTGACCCCTAAATGCGCCAGTTCCCGAACATAAATAAAAAGAACCCAAATTTATTATTGTTTAAAATCTCATGATTTTTAAGCCAATCGTGTGATTTTTGGGGGCCTGAGATTTGAACCTTTGGGGTTGACAATACTGGGATAGCTACAACTTACATTTCTATACATTCTGAACAGCACCAGTTGGGGACATTTCTGACCCTGCCTGTATATTGTCCTAATAGGGAGCAATATTGTTTTATATTTGGGGTATTTTCCCCATTTCTTTCATATGATAGGTTTTTGACGGTTTTTCAGTACTGCATACTGATAACTTTATTCCAAATTGAATACTACTTATATCCTTAGTGTAGGAAGTTTTAAATATATGAATCGTATAAACCAAGGAGGAAGTGCTACCTAGAGAGCAGCACAATGGGACTTTTATCCCTTGGGCTTAGGACACCTTTATCTTAAGGCACAGAAGGTACCTGAGAATGTTTGAGGCCTCTCAGATCAATCATTTGTGCTCTGACCAGTCATTCTCAATCTGATCCTCAGAGTAGGCTGATGTTTGGGTATTTTTAACTCTGGTCCTCTGGGTATAACTATTAGCCTATTTGTCCATATCAAAATCCTTGCTCCCTCCCCAAAGGGCCACCAATCCACTGGGTTTTCTCCACCAGGTCCTGGCTTCTCTCCTGCATTGCTTACCATGAGCTGTGATCTTGAGTAGTGATCTCTGCCCACCCAGGACATTATATTCTGGGAACAGCCAGCTAGCCTCCGCACCTTGATTTGATCTGCTGCTGTTGCTGTTTGGCTTGTCTTTCATTCCTCCAGCAGTGGGAAGGAGAACCTGGTCTCATTGCTGGCCACACTGCCCTTTGTACACGGAAGTTTGGGAGACCCCAGAGTGCGTTGAATTGATGGGTGGCGCATTCCCTAATCCCAGTGCATTTGGGGCTCCCTCTCAGGCCCCAGGGTTTCTAAAAGGCAGGAACAACAGTGCAGACAGAGAGAGCCAGGTCCTGCTGCTGTCAGGTAAAGGGGTTGTAGATCTACTTGCCCATTCCTGACAATTGACTTCCAGGCACAGGGCCTGCTGGTTGCCTCTGAAGATTGTGGGAAGGAACAGTGAGTAGGGAGAATAAGGGCAACCCATCCTCCCTGCTGTATCTCACATTATGTAGTGAGAGGGGAAAATCCCACAGTGGAGATGATGTTCTGTCACGGTCCTTGATTTCCTTCTTTTGGAAAGTGAGCGTCTCCTTCCTGCTCCTAACACCTTACTTAGACCAGTGAGGCACAAAGCTGGGGAGCTGAGCCACCAGGGATGGTGGTGAGTAAGAGGCAGAAAACGAGCCCCTCCCATTCACCCCTGCTAATGAGAGGAGAATGGAGCTGCCAGGCTCACTGAAAGGCCACAGCACCAGGAGTGCGAATCTGTTCTAGCTCCTGTCAGCACTAAGAGCAGGAGACCGTGGGATGTGTGCCCTCTGCCAACCAGCATGAATAGCACAGGAAATATTTAACCAAGCAGTGCCTAGATGCAGGGCCAGCTCCAGCTTTTTTGCCGCCCCAAGCGGCGAAGAGAAAAAACTAAAAAGGCGCAATCTGCGGCAGTTCGGCGGCTGCTCTATCGCGCCCCTTCATTCTTCGGCGGCAATTTGGTGGCCGGTCCTTCCCTCCGAGAGGGACTGAGGGACCCGCCGCCGAATAGCCGCCAAAGACCCGGACGTGCCGCCCCCTTCCATGGGCTGCCCCAAGCACCAGCTTGCTGCACTGGTGCCTGGAGCCAGCCCTGCCTAGAAGGCTGGCCTTGCAGTTAAAGAACTGTGTTGGGGCTCAGAGGTGCTGCGTGTGGTTTCTGGCTCCCACTAGGACCTTGAGTGTGTCCTTTAAACCCAGATCCTCAAAGGTCTTCAGGCATCTAACTCCCCCTGAGGTAGGCACCCAAATATCTTTGATAATCTGGGCCAAAATTGTCTCCCTGACTCAATACCCCACCTGAAAAACGGGAACAATACCACTTTCTTTGTCTGACTGGTCTATTTAGATAGTAAGCTCTTCTGGACAGGAAGTACCTCTTAAAATGTGTATGTAGAGTGCCTAGCACACCTGGTGCCACTAGGAACAATGGTAAAACAAGCAAACTCATCTCCTTGTCTTCTGCAAGGGGCTTAGTCATTTTAAACAATCGGGTGTAAAGTGGTTCTTCTCCTATGATGGCTGGTGATACTCATCCAAGCATTTCAGACACACAATTGTTATTTTACTCACTGACAGGTAAAATGAACATCACAGAATATTTCACCATAATTTCTTATAATGGCTCCTACAAAAACCTGGATTTGGAGACCTTGACTGCGATATTCCAGCACCACATCAGGGAGCAGGAGAGGATCTGGCCCTCTGTTACGATTCTCCTTTCCTCCCAAATGTCTGAAATTTCATCTTTGTGATTTTTCTTAATTTTTTGAGCAGTACACATGGAGCTACTGAAATCCAAGGAGTTACACCCACTTACACCAGGTCTTAAGTTGGTCTGAGGGGGCAAGTCTACTGATATATGGGGGGTTACACTAGGATCCTTCATTAGATGAAATAGCATTGATGTGATGTGTGTTACATTCTGAGGTGCAATCCAGACCAGTGAAGAGCTGTCAACTCTGACTCTATAACCTTTAAGTGTCTTAAAACTTTGCTACTGTAGCTCTCTGCTGGGGATGTCCACAGTCAGAAACAAACATGCGCTTTATGTCTGTGTATTGGGCAGCCCTGGTTCAATGTTTTGACTTCACACTCTCCGCAGCCCAGAATTTCCCCCAAAACACGTATTCTGAAATGTCCGGCCCTGTCCCGGACAATCAGCGGAATGTTAACATTCATTGCTCTTTAAAGAGTCAACATCCACCAGTTTGTTACTTTAACTGGAGTTACCAAACAGTTCAGTTCAAACACAGCTCTGGACTGGCTTGGATTAAATGTAAAACAAGTGAATTTTCATTTCAAAGAGAGAGGTGTTGGGTGGGTACAAGCACAAGGATTAAAGTCGGCAATAGTTACAAGAGAAATATAGATAAAACGCTTTCTACTAACTAAAAATTAGCACGCTAAACTTGGTTCAAGGTAAAATCCTCACCACATGTTTCCATCAATATGGCTGACGGAGCGCCTGGGTCAGGATCTATCCTCCAAAGTCAAAAGGCTGGTACCCTTGTCTTCTTAGGTGAAAGACAGATACATTGGGTTTCTCGACCCCTCTCTTTTATAGTCCATTGAAGCTTTGAAGAGGCTTCTTCTGAAGGAGACATCCAGACAAAAGTCTATTTCCAGCTGTGAAGTAGGCAACATGGAGTCTGTCTTGAAGGGAGTGTTCTGCTGCATCTTCCCGTGCTTGGATTGTCTGCTAAAATGCAAATTATTTAGTTTCTGCCCCCACTGGTACAATTGAATGAACATTAGACATGCGATCGCCAATCTCCTTCCCCCCGACACCATAGTGTGACAATTGCCTTCACCCCTTGTTAGCTTGATGGGTCTGTTTATGTGGGATGTAAATACATTCTCATTATCTTTCCAAGTATTTTAGAAGTAACTTCCAGGTGAGGAAATGACATTCCTTTGTCTAAGGTGGGGTAATTCCTGCGTGGCTGGAAAACACATTTTAAGAATTATAACTTCAGTTGATGTCCATAACTTTGCATTAGATGCTTGCATCTACATTACATGATGGTATTAATAACCAGTGAGTCATGAGATTTTCACTGAAACCTTGCATGACACTTACCAGATACATTTCACGACATTACAGACTTGGGGTACACTTGAACTAGTTAAGCCAGCTGCAATTCATTACCAGATATTTTGGTGCCCCTAGCCCTCTGCCCTGGGGCTGTTTTTAATGTCACAGTGTGTCACCAGGGTGAGATTTTCAAATCCATCCAGCATTGGCCTAAATATGCTCCCATTGAAGTCAGTGATAAAACTCCTTATAGAAGAGTTTGGTTGGGGTCGCCTCTCTCTGGGGTGGCTGGGAGCCAGGCCACCTCACTACTTAGATCCGGTGGGTCGGGGAATTAGCCTGGTGGGGCAGGAAACAGTCAAGGGCTCAGGCCCTCAGGCAGGGGCTGAGCAAATAGTTCAGTGCCAGGCCTGGACCTGGGTCAGGGCGGGTAGCAAGCACCCGGTTGGGAGCTCAGGCCCTCAAGCAGGGGCTGAGCAAATAGTCCAGGACAAACACAGGCCCTGGGTCAGGTCAGGGCAGCAAACAAGCAGGAGCTCAGGCCCTCAGGCAGGGGCTGAGCAAATAGTTCAGGAACAAAACCCAGGCCCTGGGTCAGGGTGGGGCAGCAAACAAGCAGGACCTCAGGCCCTCAGGCAGGGGCTGAGCAAATAGTTCAGGAACAAAACCCAGGCTCCTGGTTCTGAGTGTCTGGGGCGAGGGGGAGACTGCCACCCGTGAGTGGGGTGGCAGGGGGGACGCAGGCCCACCCACTCCACTGCGTCCCAGCCCAAGGCCCTAACAGCGGCAGGCAGCCTGCTGCTATGTCAGTGGGGATCCTGGCCGCAACACACTGACATCGGCTCTGGGTGTGCCGCAGCCAGACTAGAGTCGGCTGCCCCCGGGCTACTTCCTACCTCCCCCTCTAGCAGTATCTGCATCTGGTCGGTGTC